CGGTAGTGACCTAAACAATACATAGTAAAATAAATAAGTTAAAGGATTCTCCACCTATTCTTTTCTTTCCTCCCGATTTCTGGTAATCACTTGAGGTCTTACAAGCAACCTTAGCCAACTTTTATTTAAGATACACCTACCAACAGAAGATTGTATTTATCCAATACTTGTTGGCTTTACCACAAAAGTGCTGGGGAAAGCAACAAACACACACACACACACACACACACACACACACACACACACACCTCCCCCCCTCCACCCTTGGCCGCCTAAATACACCACTGAAAGAACAATTTGGTTTTGCGGCAACCAAAACTGGTGAGATCTGAGACGCCTGCCGACCGGTCTGAAAGCATTCCGACCTCGGCCTGGTGGAATGTCCCCGGGCCAGTTCCCCGATTCCCGACCCTCTGTAGGTCCCTGACACTTCTTAGGTGAAACCTGCTCAAAGCATTTGTTCCTGACACACAAATGTAAATATAGCACTGTTTGAAACCACGCTTTTACTCAAAATCGACGCGATTCCCAGGAAAACCGTCGCCAGCGCTTTTCTTCCCCTTCCCACACTGTCGGTTCCGAATGGCAGCGCAGCCCCGGGAGCCAATCAAACACGTTACAGGTGAGTTCCAAACCGCACCAGAACCCTTCCCCCGAAGCCGTCCGACGCTCGATTGCGACTCACAGCGAGCGACCCTGAAGGGGCAGAGTGAACCTTTAAGGAAGCTGGCTGCTACCTTTCCCTCCGGGACCAGTTGGTGGGTTCAAACCTCGACCTATCCCGACCTTTCGTTAGCTACCCACGACTTTAACCACGGCGCCACCAGGGCGCCTCTCAACGTCCTTGATTTCCCTCCCTTTTTTTCTTTCTAATCCGATAGCTATGAGGAAAAACCGAGCAAATGCTTGATTTCAATTAACCAAAAGATCACAACGTCCTAAACGTCTAAAAGGAGAAAGTGATTACACGCCCAGAAAAACGAGTGAGCACTGACAACGTTGGTTTTTGTGCTATTGGGCTAATAAAATCCACGGAGAGCTATTATACACGTTTGAACTACAGGGAACCCCTTTATCTATGCGATTCTCCCAAAGGCTCGGGCGCAGGATAAACAAACGTGGCAGCCATCTCGGCCAGCAACCCACTCGCTGCAACTTTCTTCCAAAAACAAGAGTTGGCAGCCTCGGCGATCTTACCAAAACCTATACATGCACTGTGTGCGTTCAGAAAAAAAAAGATAGCGTCTGGTCCTAGGGCTGAACAAAGGCACTCTTTCTCCAGATCGCACGAAACTTTCCGTCCCGCCGCATTCATGAAAAAAAAAAGGAAGAGAAACAAGAAACCTCTTTAAAATAATCACCAAGGTCCAGACGGTAGAAGGGCAAGGAAGCAGCAAAGAAAACCAAACAAAAAAGCAACCACCACCGCCAGCCTGCAACACGCAGTTGCAGGGAACACCTAAGCTACGTGTGGCAGCACGACGCGGGGCGTCTCTGGGGAAGAGGGGGCGCCCCCGCCAATCTCCGCGGGCCCCTGAACTTGGTGACTCCTTGACACTGTCCGTGTCAATTACCTTTCGGCCGGGCAGCGTCTCAGGGCCGCTGGCGCAGGGCTCCGCCGGACATGATTTCCTCTCCTCCCTGCGTCCCGCAGGCTCCCGCCGAACCTCGCGCCCCGTCCGGTGAGAGCGGATGTGGGGTGGCCTCCCGCGGTAGGAGCAGTAGGTGGCTTCGGTGGGGGCTGGGATGCGGGCCGGCTTCCGGGTGTCGAGTTTGGCAGGACTTTCCCGGCCCCGGACTTGGATCTCCGCGAGGGGAGGGGACCCAAAGGGGGAAGAAAAAAAAAACAAACAAAAAACTTTTCACTCGTGACACCTCCCGGAATTACCGTGCGAAACTCACTTCCTGCCTCGGCGGGCAGCAGGATCCAAGTCCGTCCAGGGGAACCCGGAAAAGCAGCTCCCCGGGCTCCCGGGAGGGGCGAAGAGAGAGGCGAGGGCAGGCGGCGTCCG